TCATGCACGCGTGCAAAGCTCCTTGGTCACCATGGAGAGAGAGAGAGAGAGAGAGAGCCTGGGTGAGTTAAGACCCCTCCCTTCCCTATCAGACCTTGAGGTCTTTCTGTCCCCATCCCCTGGGTGAGTTAAGACCCCTCCCTTCCCCCCTCCATTCCCTATCAGACCTTGAGGTCTTTCTGTCCCCATCCTCCCCTGGGACACAGGGAGGAACTGAGCTGGCCCCGGGGCTGTGCCACCCTGAAGCCCCTCTCAGAACAGAACCTTCCCTTCCTCCTGTGTATCTCTTTCCCAGCTGAGCTGCCTGGCCCAGTGGTTGGCATAGGGTTCAAGGGCGCCATACAGGACCGCGTGCTGGAGTGTCTTAGAACTCACTGTGTAATAATCCGTGTTAGACCGTCTGCTTCTAGGCTCCTTTCCTGGGCAGGTTACTTTTCCCAGCAGCCAGCTGCTCTGAGGCTCACCTAATACCCCCGCATACCCTTTAGGCCTGGTTTGAAGGATCTGATCCCAGAGGCTCCAGGGACCAGAGCAGGACTCGGGGAGGGAGCAGGAGCCCTGTTCTGGCTTGGATCCCACCCACTGGCTCACGTTGGTCAAGTTGCTCTCCTCTTCCCCTCAGGTTCCAGGTCCATCCACCAAAGAAAACTGAGCTTAGCGGCCTCCAAGGGCCTTTCCAGATCTGCTATATGCAGATCCTACTTTGGTTTGTACTAATTAGGAATCGGAGACAATTTAAATTCAATACATCCGGTCCTTAGTGAGTAAACAATCAGAAATAATTCCTTCCTTTATGACTTCTCAAAGACTCACTCATGAGCAATGAGAACCCAAGCTAAAATCAATAGCTTTTATTTCTCAGACAGAGAAACGGCAGAATCCCTGAGCTGCTGGGCATTGCAATTCATTCTTGTATTTTAAATTTTTATGTTTATGTTTATGGACTGCCATTAGGTAATACCGATCTATCCCGAAGGTTGACTTTTTTCATTAACTTAACTCATTTTACTTATTAGTTCACATTTATAGCTTGGGTTTAATAAGCGCATAGTGCAAAAGTCATAAAACAGCCCTTTTTAAAAGCAATATTTTAAAATCGAGTCTCTTCTCTGAGTCATCCCAGTTTTATTTGCTCATAACTTGTTTCTCCTGTGATTTGAGGCCCAGCGGTGCCAATCCCAGCCAGGCATTTGCCTTGAGCTGCAGCACCTCATCTGCAATAGGGAAGGGCACCGCTGATTAATAAAAGCAATAAATGCTTACATTTTAGAAAGTAAGCATCCAACAATCACTCACTGTGTTTCAAGTGCTTCTCATATATCATACTAGAGGCCCAGTGCACAAAATTTGTGCATGGGAGGGGGGTCCCCTCAGCCCAGCCTGCACCCTCTCACAATCCAGGATGGCTGGCTCCTAACCGCTTGCCCTGCCTGCCTGATCACCCCTAACCACTCTGCCTGCCTGCCTGCCTGATCGCCCCTAACTGCCTCTGCCTCGGCCCCCACACCTGGGACCCAGGCTTTCGTCCTCCAGCCAGCCACAGGCAACCAGGACCAGAGCTTTCCTCCCTCTGGCCAGCTGCAGGCAACTGGGACCGGAGCTTCCCTCCCTCTGGCCGCAGGCACCCGGGACCCTGGATGGCTTCGCCTGGGCCCCAGCTTTGTTAGGAAGGACATTCGGAATGACATCCAGAAGACATCTGGTCTATCCGTCTAATTAGCATATTACCCTTTTATTAGTATAGATTGTCTGGTTAAATCCTACCTCCCTAGGAAGTGGCTTTATTATTATTTTTTCACTTTATAGAGTAGGAAACTGAGGCCCAGACAGATTAAATGACCTGCCTGAGGCCACACAGTTGATGACAGTGGTAGAGCTGGGATGCAAACCCAACATGTCTAAGTCCAGTCACCATCTTTCCCCCGATATCTGTCTCCCTCTCCCACCCACCCTTTCATCATCTCTTTACTCTCCACCTCTACCACCAGGCCCTTCCCATCCTCCTTTCATTCTCTCATCTGTTTCCACTTGCTTGGGCTCCCTCCTACTTTTTACCTACCTGGAGAATACCTCTGCTCTATGACCTTCAGTGGCTCCCCATTGCCTATGGATGAAGTTTCTCATCCTTAGCCTAGCATCATTCAAGGACCTTACCCCTCCAGCCCCTGCCTTCCCTCCCTGTCTCATTTCCTAGGCAGTCTTGGCTCATGGTCCTGGATACCCACCCCACAGGTGGGTACCTCCATGCTTTTGCTCACCCTGGTCCCTTTGCCCATAGTGTCTTCCTCTCCTCTCCATACGTTCAAATCTGCCCCCTCTTTCAGAAAGCCTTCCCGGGGCTCAAAAAAGAAGAGGCCCCTCCCTTCTCTGAACTCAGAACCAAGTCAAGAGCCCTTCTCAGCCTCCTTGAACTATGAAAACCAGGGCATTAACCTTCCCTTCTCCATAACAGTGAGCTCCTTTGGAGGTGGAATTTGTGCCTCACTCATCCCTGGCACCTTCTGAGTACTGGATATACAGCAGGTGTTTAATTAATGCTCACCAACATGAGTGAATGCTCATATTGCTTGAGATCTTCAGGAAAATGCCTGTGTCTTTTCTGTGGCATTCAGGGCCAGCCCAGTGCAAGGGAGACACTGTCCACATTTTACCAACGTTCAGTGTAAAGCGCTTAGATCTTTAATTAATGCTCACCAACATGAGTGAATGCTCATGTTGCTTGTGATCTTCAGGAAAATGCTTGTGTCTTCTCTGTGGCATTCAGGGCCAGCCCAGTGCAAGGGAGCACTGTCCACATTTTACCAACGTTCAGTGTAAAGCGCTGATCACAGGACTTTCCCGTCTCATTTCCTGCTCTGCCCGAGGCCCCAATCTAGGTATCTCTGTGCCTTTGCTCACCCTGGCCCCCCTGCCCACAGCACCCTCTCTCCTCTCCAGATACACACGTCTGCCCTCTACTCCAGGAAGCCCTATGTGCCTGCTGGGGTCATCAGGACATTGGGGGAGGAGGGGCCTTACTTTGGTGTCTCTGCCTGTGAGTTATTAGAGCCCTGGCTTTAGACCTGGCCCCGAGAGACTGCAGGGACCGGTGGCAGGTCCAACACCCCCTCTCACAGGGAGAAGCCAGGGCCCCATGGAGGAGAAGGTGTGCCTGAGTGCTCACATCCTGGGACGGGACCCCAGGACTGCTGCCTGCAGGTCCATGGGGCCTCCTGCTGTCACCTCCTGGGAATGAAGGCCCCCCCAGCCATGGGTCTGTTAATGGGGTGGGTGGTCTGCTTCTCCTAATAGGTGTGAGGGAGCATGGACTGGGGTGTAAACGAAAGATGGAGGCTGGGGGTCACCCCCGATGAGCCACTTCATCAAGGGTATTGGGAGGAGGCCCAGAGAGGCTGACACACACACGCCATCGCCATCCGGATGGGGCTGGAGCCGGGAGCACGGGCGGCCGCAGTGAGCCCGTGAGAAAGGCACAGTTGCATAGCACGCTGCTAATACAGTCTCCGCCATCACCTCTTTCCTGCAGCCATTCCTTTCTTTCTCTATCAGACCCTCTTGGAAAAAGCGGAGAATGCCACCTCTCCTGGGGATTTGTCCCACCCCACCCACCCCCCCCCCCCTCTCACCCCTCTTGGAAAAAGCGGAGAATGCCACCTCTCCTGGGGATTTGTCCCACCCCACCCACCCCTCTCCAGTTCTCACGCGCTGGCTGCCATCTGGTGTGACATTAGCGTTCACCAGCTTGCAGAGCGCTAATGACATTTGCATTTTGCTGGCTGGTGAAATGTGGGCCGGGGCTTGGGGTCCCGTGGGCAGGTGGGGAGTTTGCAGCCCAGAGGGAGAAGCAGATAGGCTGGGTGCGGGCCCACACTGGTCCCTGAGAGGCAGGGAAGTGGGGTCCCGGTGGATCAGGGGGAACAAATAACTGGTGGAATGAGAGGGTTTTGTCTAAAGATGTGCCAAGGACAAAAAGCAACTCCCAGTCCAGTGCCCCACATCCCCCACAGGCACTCACTGCATTCTCTCCTGTGTTGCCTCCCTAACATTTATTGAGTGCTTGCTGTATGCCAAATGCTCTACTGAAGGCTTTACAGACTCATGGAAGCCATTTTTACTCCCTGCAGTTCTTGAAGATAATGCTGTCATTCTCCCAGTTTTATAGACCTGGAGATTAACGCCCTGAGTTGCCCGGGGCCCCACTTCTGGAGAGAGGTTGCCCCAGCATGGGGCAAGATCCACCTGCCTCTGAAGCTTATGCTACTGTGGGCATTGCCTCCCACACCTTGTCCCGGCTTAAGCACAGCCAAGAAACCCTCCTCGGCCCTGGCCTTTCCCAGCATGCACCTGACAGGCAGGCAGCAGACCCTGGCTGTGTGCCCTGGGCTGCTCCAGGGGCTGCAAGGCTGACAACTGCAAAGAAGGGAGCATCCCTGGAGAGAGCACCCAGCCACGAAACCGGAGAGACCCCAGGTTTAGGCCTCACTCTGCCACCAACTTGCTGTGTGACTTTGGACAAGTCACTGCCCCTCTCTGGGTGTCATTCTCCTTGTTGGTAAAACGATGCCGTTGGGCTGGCTCAATGGAGCATTCCAGGAATGCATGTGCACATGAGCAAGGATCTTTCCTCCAATGCGCTTGAACTCGCCCGCAGTTCCCACCCCCTCGCTTGGACGTATAAAATTATGTTTTACATTCAAGCAAGCCATGAACATTTGTCGAGCATCCCCACTCTGCAAAGTGCACTGTGCTAGACGCAGCGAGATGCTTACGTATTTTTTTTCGGGCGTACACACAGGCATATGCATATCTTTGCGTCTTAGAATTGTCTGGCTTCCCAGTCCTGATGAGTAACCTCAGACTCCTGCAGTCTTTGCCTCATCACACGGCCTCCTCGGGGCCCAGAGAGCATTTCAAACAAAAACAAGAGACCTCAGGCAGCGTGAGCCAGTAAGCTCTCCCCCAACGAGGCAGTCACGGCTGGCTCTGTTTGTCTCTGACAGGTGGGCATCTCCTGGACAGCACGGAGCTTGCAGTGGCAAGAGCTTCTGGCACTGTCGTCAAAGCGACGTGAACCCTTTGAATTTGGCTTCTAGAAACGTGGACACAACCCTTTTCCAGACGCCAGCCACTGAGGTAAGGGAGTTCAGGCTTGTTCCGCACGGGGCGTTATGCTGCTTTCGTTGTTGTTGTTGTTGCTAGTGGTAACCGTCAGCAGGGCACCCTGTCATTCTTTGTCATGGGGCCCTGATTTAGTCCCTTCTTTAGCAGGAGTGGCTAAGGCTCTAAAGTCCAGCAGACCAGGGTTCAAATCCTGGAATCACCAGTTTTTAGCTGTGTGGCCTTGAGACCTTTCTGTGTCTCAACTCCCTCCTCAGTCAACCAAGGAAGCAATAGCACCCACTTTCTGGGTTTGTGGTGAAGATAAAATAAGGTAACACATGAAAAAGACTGAGAACAGGATGGGCACCTAGTAAACTCAGGACCCAGTAAGTGTTAGCTGTTACTGTTCTAGTCGTGAGCCTGCCCTGTCAGCTTGTCACTAGTTGATTCTCACATGGATGGAGTGGAGTCCACATTCGCTGGAATGTAGACTCCGTGAGGGCAGGGGCTTGTCTGTCGTAGGTGAATCCCCAGATCCCAGCAGAGCAAATTGGCCGTTGTTTGTTGACTGCGTGGATGCGTGAAGATGCTTTATCTAGATTGTGCACAATCCTCGAAGGTCTTTGCATTAGTTGGGATATGGGTTTGGTTGTGTGTGACAAAACCCCAAAGTCACGGCTCCTTAAACAAAAGAGAGGATGCTTTTTCCTAAGTACCACTGAGCTAAGGGGTTTCTTCTCCACAAAAGCGTGAGAGGCCAAGTTTCCTTCTGTCCTGTGACTCCTCCATCACTTGTCTACGTGATCCGCGATGGCCCACGGTGGTGTCGGTCTCCATTCTGCTCAGCAAGAGGGGCAATCAGAAAAGGAGAGGGCGCTCCATCCTTTAAGGGGGTGCACATGTCACTTGCATTCGTGTCCCACTGGCCAGAATGTAGATATCTGACACACCTGGCCGCAGGGGAGACTGGAAGTTAGAGTCTTTATTCTGGGTGGCCATCTGCCCAAGAACGATTTTCAGAAAAAGGAGGAAGGAATGTGGGCAGACAAAACAGCGGATGCTCCCTAGTGGGCGGGGGGCGGGGATAGGGAGCAGGCAAGAGGGCTGATTTGTCCCAAGCAGGTCCTGCCTGTGCCCTCTGACAGGTAGACCTCGGTTTCCTGGATCTGGTATCTGGAAGCCTGATTTACACATGCACACACACACACATTCACATACACAGAATCACACACATACACATATGCAGAATCACACACATTTACATACTTACAAACACACACATTTATATACCCACACATACACAAAAACACATGCCCACACATATACACAAACATACATGAACCCCACCATCTCAGCCACCCCGTATCAGGTTGCCTTGGGTTCCCCTCCACTTGCTCGAAGGACCTTTTCCTTCTTCCCTTTGCCCCATTCCCACCCCACCCCCACCCCCTGGCTGGGTAAAGTTTCTTGAGCTATTTTAGCATTTATTTGCTCTCAGTGGCCCCCAGAAGAGCAGCTATAGCCGCCCCCCCCACCCCACCCTCAGCCCCTACTTCCTGGGGCCTCTGAGAGGGAGGGGAAGAGGGAAGGCACTGAGCGGGAGCCCATCTTCCAGGGCCCCAGGGGCCTGTGTGGGGTTCCAGGGCACAGGCAAGCGGGCCAGCCTCGCAGCCCCAGCTGACGTCCACCGTGGCAGCCTCTGTGATGCATTTAGGGTGCGGTGTATGATTTCATTTGAAAAAAAGATTGCTCTGCAGAAAAAAATAGATGGCAAACCACAGCATATGCTTCTGCCTCCTAGGCAACTGGCCGAGTGCTTTTTAAGATCTGTCCTTTGCTTGATTTGGGTCAACCACAAACCTTCTTGGCCTTCATATCTCTCTCTCTCTCTCTCTCTCTCTCTCTCTCCCTCTCTCGCTCTCGCTCTCTTTCTCTCTCCCCCCACCCACCCCCTATGGATTCTGCAGCTCTGACTCATCAGGCAGACAGCTCAGTGTTCAGCATCACCCTGCCTTATATGGTGTGCTCAGTGCTCCCGGGGCAATGAGTATTCATTCATTCCTTTCTTCAGCCAGTGACTGTTGAGTTCTTATTATGTGCCAGGCACTGTTTCATTTGCTGGGGGTTGAGGGGGAGCAAAGCTGAAAGGCCCCACTCTCAGGGAGTCTGCTGAGGGCAGGACCCCTCCTCTGCATGTCTTGCCCCCAGTCCCTTGTCCAGTGTATCAGTCAACGCTGAATTACAGTCGGACTTGGTGGATGTGTGTCAGTTACTTTTCACACTATTATAATCCTCACCCAAGGATATATTTTTTCCATTGAATTTTTTAGAGAGAATGAAAGGGAGGGGAGGAAGGAGGAGGGAGAGAGGGAGGGAGGGAGGGAGAGAGAGAGAGAGAAATCCATGTGAGAGAGACACATCAATTGATTGCCTTCCGCATGCGCCCAACCAGGGCCAGGTATCGAATCTGCAACCCAGGTACATGCCCTGGACCAGGAATCGAACTCATGACCCTTTAGTACACGGGCTCCTGGAGCTTTGCATAAGCCCTCCCTTTCCGTGCTGGGGCTGAGGTTACAAGGAAATGCTGGAGAATCCACCCCAGTGATCTGGCCTGGCCCTGTACCTAGGTGGTTTGATGGGATGGATTGAATTTCCTAGCTCAGCATTACGCAAACTACAGTATTTTGGAGAAGATTGGCTCACCACTGGGCATGGATTATAGGGCTATGCTTCATTCTCACCTCCTTTAATGCCTCTGGATCCCGAATCGCAAGGAGTTTGGATATTTCTGAAGGACGCAAAGCCTACAGATTGGAAGGTGCGCGGGGTCCAATCCGCCTTGTGCTCACCTGGTCCTTTGCTGGTGTCTGTGAGCCTCTCACCCTCCATAGTCGCCAGCATCCAGCGCAGAGACAGGCACGCCGGGGGCTTCCATCAGTGGTTGGTGAAGGGTGGACAGATGGCCGGATTACAGTGGATTCACTGTAATACTTGCTCTCCTAGCCTCAGTCCAAGTGTCCAAGGTGGTTGGAGGCACCGGTAACAGTTTGATTTTGGCTCCTGTGCAACATTAGTAGTTTCCAAGTCATGGAGGGGATGCAAAACAAATGGCTTTTGAGCTTGTCAGTTTCTCATTTCAGTCGTGGGAGGCGGCGTGGCGTGTGCCCTGATGTAAGGATGAGAGCTTGCTCAGACCCCAGCTCCGAGGCGGGGTGGCCTCGGGCATGTTATTTTGTCTCTCTTAAATTCTATTTTCTCATCTAGAAAATGATGGCACTAATAGCAGCCAGCTCCCAGGGCTCTGATGAGCATTAGATTAAATAATGGGTGTTAAGACGAGGAGCAGAGCTCTGAGCACGTGGGGAACGCTCAAGAGAGGATGCTGATGGCCTATTTAATGACCCCCGTAAGCTAGTTGTTGCATATACTTCTTTCTTCCAGACATATTTTTGCAGACTGCTTTGCACTTTTAAGACACAAATTATTTTTTTAAAGTTGTTATTTCAGAAGTAAAACATGCTCCTTAAAAATTCAAATGATCCAGAGAGACTTAAATTAAAAAAACAAATGCAGCCCCCCACACCCACCCCCTGCCCTCATGGCCAGCTCTCTCATTTCCTTTCCTAGTAATGTTCCAAAATCAGATCTTTTCTCCTTTTTTCCTAAGGACAGCGGACAGGTACGCAGTTAGGAGGAGACAGTGGCCAGTCCAGGCCAGAAGTCCCGAGGCTGGTGCCTTGGTGGTCCTGTTGGACCCAGGCACAGCCTGTCCTCTGGGCAGCCTGGCATCTCTGACTCCTGTTTGCTCTGACCTGGAGGATCCCCAGTGTCCTGAGGCCAGGGGAGTGGTGTGAGGCGTGCCACATAGGGCCAGGCCTGGAGGGACAGGTGCACCGACACTGTGTCTGGCCACATGCCCGGGACCCTTCTTCTGTCCGAGCCCCAGGGCCCAGTCCAGTTTCAGATGCCTTGTTCCTGGCAGGGTGATCACTCACTTCCACACCTGTGCCTTCGGCTGCCACTCTCCTTCCCTCATCAGGAAGGGGCCAGGGCCTACCCAGCACGCGGCCCAGAGCATCATGGACTGGGGCAGGTGTGAGTTTTACCAACACGAGGGTGCAAACTGCCCCCTGCCTTTATTTCTCTAGATCTGACTGTCGCTGAGCCCCCCTTGCCCATTTGAAGGACATTCGATCCCAGTCATGTTGGGGAGGGAGGACACTGGCCCCCAGGATTGTGTAGGAAACTTGGGGGCCTTTGAGTGACCCAAAATGTTGGGGGGAGGCTGCCTGGCTTCAGTGCACTCAGGACCCCACAGAGAGGCTCATTTGCCAAGCCTCAGGGCCCAGTGAGGGCAAGTGGGCGGCAGCCATTTCCATGCCAACCTAGGCGTGTGGTCTTTGGTTGCACCTGCAGGCCAGGAATTTGGGTGTTTAGAATCCCAGCCTCTCTCAGGCACCTCAGGGTCGTGTCACCTCTTGGGAAGGCTGTTCCGGGATCAGGGCACTTGAGCCTGTAGCTCTTGGATCCCACAAAACCCACTTCTCCTTGTTGACTCCAGCAATGCCCCCCAACCCTTTCCCCAGCCTTTGCCTCTGCCCCTCCTCACAGGCTCCACCCTTATGTTCTACCTCCTGGGGCTCCAGCCTGTCTTCCTAGGCCCAGCAATCTCTGTGCTGGTCTTGGAAACAGCAGTCCCCAAGCGTAGGACCCAGTGATTAACCACCATCTTGGCAAGGGAGGGACACTGCCCACAGCAGAGAGAACAAATCAGAAAGATGGTCTCCGCACGTTCTCCTGCCACCACATTGGCTACAACAGGTGAAATAGCACCTTCCAACTCACTTGTTTATTGAGCACCAACTATGCCAGACTCTTTCAGAGACTGAAGGTGAAATGTCACCCGAGGTGGACCTCAAAGAGATTAGGGTTTAACTAGCGGTTCTCCGAGGTGTTCCTCACACCAGCAGCCTCAGCACTGCCTGGGAACGTGTTGGAAATGGAAATGCAGATTTTCGGACTCCCCCTCC